CCCTTTTTTTGTCTTGCCACGCAAGAACTGCCACGTCTCCTGAGTGTTGAGCACAGTGTTCACCTTTTTTCAATTTCTTATCTTTCACTAAGGGAGGGACATTTTTCCTGTTGGGACGTAAGGTTCCAACACAGTCTGTATTTTTAGACTTCAAGAAACGAGCCAAATCAGGGGAGTTATAAAAATTATCCATCCACACTGTGTGTCCGCGACCCAGAAGATTTTCTAACAGTGTTATTACAATTGCTGTAGTTTTGTTTGTCTCTGCAGTCACATACTGATTTGTTAGTTCCATTCCTTGTCCAGTATAGACAAGAAAGGACCAAACATAACCAGAACTAGACTCGCAGAGTTCAAACGTTTTGATACCAAATTTCGCAGCCTTGAGTGGCAAGTACTGCTTGAAAGACAGACGACCTTTCCATAGGGTCAAGGATTCATCTATGGCAATGTTGTGACCTGGAAGATAGAGAATCTGAAATTTTCTACTCAGGTGCTGAATGACGGGATAAATTTTGAAAAGTTTGGAAGGGCCTTGGTACTCATTTTGCTTGCTGTTGTCCGAAAAATGCAGAAATCTCATTATGACCTCAAGTCTTTCCAGAGGTAAGGTCTCTGCAAAAAACGGAGTGAACAGCAGGCGGTTCTTTGAGTAATAAGACCTCAATGTAGGCCTCTGATCAATGCCAGTCAACATAATTAGTGCCAAAACCACGTACATTTCGTCCACTGTCACATCTTCCCACTTCCGAATCCTAGAGCGAAATGTGAGAGGTCTGGCGATTTTCGATATTTCCTGTTGAGCATACCTGTTCGTTTCATCAACAATCAGCTGCACAAGGGAAATATCGAAAATGCTTTCAAAAACACTGACGACATCTAGTTCGGCAGTGTCGAACTGGGGACCGCACACACCACAAAACGATTCTCGCGAAGCGTGAAATGAATCGATATCTTCCCACACAAATCTCCTGGGCACCTCTTCCAATTCATCGTGGGCCACGATATCCTCAGGATCACTGTCCCTTTCACTAGCACTGATGGTTTCAGGTGGCACCAGTTGTGTGTAATCATAGTCCGATGCACTCTCATCATCGGAACTATAATTACTTAGGGTTTCGTCGTCTAATACTTCGTTCAGCGCGGTCACTTGTTCGACCTCCGTCAGCGCACGACTTGTGGAAGGGCCAGCCATGATACCACTCAAAGTTTCGAAGTAAACTGTTGGTGGCCTGGTGTATGGAAATTATAAAGACACGCGTCTTTAGCTGGCAGCTAAAGACACGTGTCTTTAGCTTGCCAGCTTAGCTGCAGTAAATTCAACCTTTGTGTTATCATACCAATGGGTTGGTGGTATGCGTTTTGGCTGCAGCAGATGTCATAGGGGTGGCCACAAAATTCATGAAGTTATTCTAAGAAATGGCTGGTAAGTAGTGCACAAAAGCAGAGCTTAACTGGCTCAAAAAAAATATTTATGGCCATCCCTCGAAACGACCACCAAGGTCAGTACGATAAACTGGAGTCAACTGGAGCGATAATACATGAAGGAATGCGTTCTTTTCCCCCTACACACACACCCATCGTCACAGGGGGTGACCACAGTGTTCTGCCTTAAATTGTGGCGTATTTCTAAGAACTGGGCCTTTGTACTGTGCGAAATCAATCGATTTGGCAAGAATAAACTTCTGGACATCCCTCTTCCAAGAATTCCAACTGAGTGTGTAAGTGTGGCCAGCTCAGGGTAATATGATATTATGAACACCGTAAATATCACGTCTCTAGTGTTTATAATTTCATAGCAAAGCAAACACGCCTTCATAACAGTGGAGCGTAGAAAACGCTCGCCAGAGCCACAGGAAATTTGCTGCAAGACAGGCATATGTAACGACGACTTAGCGCAGCTAAACTCGTGTCTCATTATAAACCGTTCTTGTGACAACAGGCCAGCGAAAAATCTAACAATCTACAGCAAAACCATCAATTATTATGGGCGTTATAACGTAGGTGTGCAGCTGGACGAAACATACACGTCGAACCCAGCCAGACGATTTAAATACCTGACGAAACATACACGTCGAACCACGGCAACGGGCTAAGGTAGAAACAGGTGTAGCAGGGATAGCACCATTCCTACTGCGCCGAAACAAGCAAAGGCGGGTTGGAAAAGAGCGGTGTTAACATGTTTCAACTTTCTGCAAAATTTCATAACCAGAAATAACAGAGAGAATGCGTGGTACTTCCAAGCAAACATCAGGATGTATGCCCCAGGCCTACAGGCAGAAGCCGTTCTCAAACTAAACCTGAACCCAACGCGCTTACCCAGACTGACACCCTTCTACACCAGCGCACTCGAAGCCTGCCACGACATTAGACCCATTTTAACCCCAACCTACAGTCCCTTGAAGACCTAAGGCACATCCCCTTGCACGACACCACCCTCATGAACCCACATAATTCCGGCCACAAAGTTATGTTTGACGAAGCTTGGAAGGCTCTAAATATAACATACATAGGAGATCTCATCACAGAGAATGGCCACTGGAAAGAACTAAAAGACATTGACATAACACACTGTTCCCAACCGACCGACCGTAGACTCTCAGCAAACTTATGAAAAGCAGAAGCCTTTTTCCACCACAAATACCCAAACCTTTCACTGAAGACCACTTCCTTAACACAACCCCCCAGCGCTTACGTCATAAAACAAACCAACCGCCAACTGACTCCCCTCACCATACCCAAATGCAGGGTATACAACCAATTATTCAAAGCCAACATAGACAAAAAAGCAATGGGCAACGGAGAATGTCATTGGCAACTGGGAAAACACCAGTGGAAAGCAATATATCACCACCCCATTATGAGCAAAGATGGCGACTTCTCATGGAGGATGCTACACAACAGAATAGCCACACCGCAACAGCTGCACAAATGGGGCAAGAAGGACAAACCAGACTGCCCCTGGTGCCCAGGCACAACAGGGACAGTGGATCACATGTTCTTCCGCTGCCCCACAGTCACAGCTTTCTGGGG